AGCGATAACCAAACTCGCTCTTTGAGTCAAATCTCGATGTTCTGAATTGCATTTAGTCTCATCCCACCATATATGAAGTCCCGACCTCATCCACATTTCTCATGAGGTCTAGCTCAGAAAAGTCAAGGCAGCAGGAATGTCCAGGGGAACAAGGAAAGGTGGCACATGCTGGTGCCATAGTGTCATTATGACAATAGAAATGTCAATGTCATTACCCGTTTTTCTAGCAAGAGGGCTCAGAGGTTCCTAGACGACTTCAACTATTCCCTGTGGGCCAGGTGCCACTTTCCTCATCGTCTCTCCCTTCTTCAGCTTCTCCTTCCTCTTGGTCACAAAGTCCTGTTGCTGTTCCCTCCCAGGCACCTCTCGAGTCCGGCTGCTCCCTCCCCCTGCCCCTACCCCACTCCCATCTAAACCATCCACTCTTGCCTGGAGATGTGAACCAGCCTCCTAACTTACCTCCCCTCCCACGAAGCCCCTCTCGGTGCATTCTCCTCCACACTGCAGCTCCGCATTCTAGTATTTTTTTTGTAGGTATAATTGATCAAGTCACTCTATCTCTTAAACCCTTTAATAACTTCCCTGTCCTTAGGATTGATTCCAAATCCTTAATGGGACCTGCAGACGAGCCCTTCTAAAATGTGGCCCCTGCCCATTCAGCCCCTTCTCCTCTCCTGCCATCCCTCCACATCCATACTCCTGCCAGCTAGAATGATCCCGGACCTCATGCAGCCGTCCCCTCCAGCAGCCTTCTATCTCCCCATCAAGTCTCAGCACACACACCACGGCTCCAGGGGGCCTTCTTTGACCCCCAAGACCAGACAGGGTGCTCTTTTAAATTTTTCTCCCCCAGCGCCATCACATCTCAATTATTCATTCCATGTCTGCCTTCCCTACAGGAATGTGTCTGAGGCAGGGGCCCTGTTGACCTTGTTCCCTGACTCCAGCCCTAGGGCCAGACACAGAACCTGGTACATAAAGGTGGCAACAAAGTCATGTTTGAGAGCTCAGTCTGACAGGCAAGTGAACACAGGTTCAAATCCTGGCTCCACCACGACGTGGTGCAAGGGACTTAACTTCCCTCTGTTGCCCCATGAACAGTTAATGAATGAACGAAATAAGGAATTAGAGACCCAAAATGGCATCTCAAGGGGTTAATTTTAAAGCCAGTGACACTTACCAGATGAAAGAATCTTCCATCTTACTGTAAAAAAATGGAAGGAAAAATCTAAGCTTTAAGGGTACATCACCAATCCTGACTGAATTTTATTCGAGTTGACCACCTCCTTGGTAGGCGGCCAGGGTATCATTTACTACCTGGGTGGGAGTCAGAGGCTTAGCGAAGGTAGAGAAAGTAAGCAACTAACATTTCAGAGCCTGGAAGAATAAGACATTAAACTGTCATTTATGGCAGCTCGATATTGCTTAATAATTCAACAACCATGTCTTACAATTTATACAACTTAAATAAGCAGTTCAGAAAATGGAATTTAATTTAAATATTTTGCAAGGATACTGAGTTTCTTTTGATAATATGAGCCTGATGTCGGCATCAGCCATGCTATAGAAAAGGTAAAGTGCACCAGAATAGAGAAGACTATTCAGGCTTATCTACCTTTCCAAAGGACTTACGGGGGTGAAAAACCCCACATCTCAGACCACATCTATTTTTGCAAAATGATGGGTCTTTAAGGCAGAGGTCTTCAAACAGGGTATCTGAAGGCTTTCCAAGGGGTGCAGACACAGACGGTTTTAAGGGAATGACTGACCAGATCCTCAACTTCTATTTGTATTTCTCCCAAAACTGGCCTGCCTGAGTACCACCTCCCCTCCCCCAGTCTCCCGTCTCCCACTATGTAACAGAAGGACAGACTTCTCATCCACCCCGAACCTCCACATCATCTAACAAAGGGACAAGTCAAATATCAGGATCTCTAAGTCTCCTTGAATCAGGCACTGGGGTGGGGCTTCCTCCTTACACAAGAGTCTGATAAGGGTGAACGATGGCATTAGAAATGGGGCGATTTGGGGCCACAAGGTGCTGTTCCAAATTCATTATATATTGAAAAAAATATATAGTAAAATGGAGTGGGTATGATGTGGCTCTTGCATAATGACTTTGCCTCTTTTGCCCCTTGATTCTTATTCCCAAAGACGCTATCACTTCTGAGTTAGAGTCCCATGGGAGCAAAGAAACCTTCTCCTTCTCCCTCCCCATCCTACATCCACCCATCTGTCCATCCCTCCATCCGTCCATCCATCCATTCATCCGTTCATCCATCCATCCACCCATCCTTCGAAGAATCAGAATTCAGAAACAAGATGGTTGTCCCAGAGACGCCTCATAACACATCGATTGAACTGAAAAACGATATCAGACCTTTCTGATCGAAAGCAAGTCCAGTGTGGCTAATGATCTGACAAGGCCTGGCTTTGTCAACTAGAACACACAGCAGACGTTTTCCACAAATGAACGACCTACATCCGCAGTTCCAAGGTCTTAACAAACAGATATTTTAAAAAGCATATAGTTTAAAAGCATTTTACCAAAAGAAGGATGCGGACAAATTGTTTATTAACATTGTTTTAATTATCTTATCTATGCTGGAGTATTTTGGGTTAAACAAGTTGCCTCTAAGTAAAAAGAGGAACAGATTTAATCAACAGTTGAGAAGTTTTGATAAAGTTTTTTTCTGGTGTACTTCCCAGAAACTGAAAAAACAAACGTCTCTAAAGGCTGCATAACAATTCCTTTTGTATGTCAGGTAATTTCCAATTCTTTATTTTCAATAAAATTGAAGAAGGACCTAAGTGAGTTGACATTTTTGGCACAGATCTACGGAAGAAATTCAAAGAACTAAGTGACATTATTATAACAAAACTCCTGCCATCCCATGTATTTATTCATGGTTTCTTAGCACTTCTATCTCTAAAAATGACAATATAGGAAAAAGAGGTGATACTGAATTCTTTCTTATTCTAGCAATAACTATTATTTGTCCATTTATTCAAAAACTTTTTAAAAGCCCAGCCAGTCCATTATAAGTTGCAATTTCAATCTAACAATTATTTTGATGAATAACAATTTACTAGTACTAATGGTTTGTCAATATTTATTTGTTTGGATCAACTGTGAGTTAACAATGGCTGAAACATTAACTAACCTAGGAGAACTTAATAGTAACTTAGAATAGGGGAAATTTCTTTTAATACTCATGATACCTGGAAAAATGTCTTAAAATTTATGCTATGTATATATGCATACATATATATGTTACAGAGATGTCTAATGAGGTGATCAATAAAAGACTTTCACGCAATTAAATCTATTACATCAGAATAAAATGTTATGGGGGAAATAGAATGGAAAAAAATGAGTTCGGGGGAAAAAGAAACAATACAAAAATTCTAGCTGTTAAAGGAGAACTTGTTTATGTACATTTTTAATGGATGACAGTGGTTATAAGATTACTGTGAGTTTAGATTCCACTGGATACATTTAAAGAGATGATTTTTAAATGTCCATATTTACAACACACCATTCATTTTCATAATTTCCGGGAAGGACACAAAGAGGCTTTGCTAAGACATGAAATGACTATTACACAATTCCTGTTTCTGTTTCACTTAGAGGCAACCTGCTTACTGCTTAACCTAAATACTCAGAGAGCTGGGAAAACGGAAATGTTACTACATCCTGTGCAACTATTTATGTCACCTTAAAATGTACAAGGGGTGTCGTTTTACACTCTTTGGGGAGTATGTGAGTAGAACCATTTGAAGGCCACTGCTCTAAAGGGCTCGCACTGGGGAATGGAGTAGCCTGGATCGACTGACCTCATGGTATTGAAAAGTTTTTAGGAATTGGAGCTGTATTTTCTGGTCATTTCATTGGGTATTCTCGACTCCAAATGGCAACCCATGCCAACAGAATGAGAGTCCAGGATGTTGGGGTCCCACTTATCCAAGTTTTGTTTGGGATGCCACGACCCAAGGCCCTCTCTGGGATGTTGCAGGGAGCCAGGCTGCCCTCATCACCCACTCCTCCCCTCCTGAGCACTACCGGGGAGCACTCCCTAACCTCAACCTTTCTCCCCTTCACTGTCCCTCCCAGGTGGGGCTTGGCTTGGGAGATACCAAGAAGTCTGATGCTTCTGACCCACGGACCGCTCCTGCCTCTTGCCAGGAAGCCCCACTGACTGCCCCTCCACAACCAAGGTTAAGGGGAGACGGGGAGCTCCTCCACATCCTGGCAGCCCTACTTTTACATGGAAAGCACAGCAGAGCAGTTAACTGAGTGGCACTGGTACCGCTAGGTTCTAATCTCAGCTCCACCGTTTATTAACAATCATCAGAAAGGCAAGCTATTAGACCTCTTAGAGCCTCAGTTTCTCTACCTATTAAATAGCGATAAGAATGGAACCATCTCCTGGGATTATGAGGACTACTTGCAATACTGAGCTGGCATCCAAGAGTTTAATAAATGAAACTATTATTATTAAATGTAAAATTTAGAGTTTTAAAAGCGAACACAAGAAAAGGTGGGACTCAGTAGACAAGATGCCCCCTCCTTCAATGGAGTGCCACCCCAAACCACCCATCCCATAGCCCCCAGATTCTGCCTTTCAGCCGAACCTAGTTCCAACTGGCAGCAGCAGCCCACACTCTGCCCCAAGGATGCCGGATGCAAATCACCTCAGACAAACGAGGACAGCCTCTCACTCCTGGGCAGCTGCCACCGAGACGCCCAGCTGCTGAGTAAGAGACCCCCGTAGCTTGGTTTCCCACACACCTGGGCTTGCCCCAGGGACAAGGGAGTACACACGGGGCCCCTATTGTTGTCACATACAGCTGGCAGGATTCTGTGCAAATTGCCTACACACAGCATAGACCTCCTTCTCAGAGTGTCCCTCTCCCCCTGGGTGGGTGGAGACGGCAGAGCCACGGCAAGCTGAGGTGGCCCAGAGCCCCTCTTTAACCCAGCAAGGAAGGACCCTTACCTGAAGAGTGATGGGACAAAGGAGGACCGGTCTGGCTTAGCATCAACTGCATCTGTGCTTGTCGAATCCCCAGCTCCCTGCTCCACAACACAGTCTTGATCATCTGCCATCTGGAAGGAGAAAAACAAACCAGAAAATTGGTGTCCATTGGTATCACTGGCCACGCGATATTTTTAAAGAACCCTCCTGAGGTGACATTTTTAATTAAGCATATTTAGGCTGCAGGGCTACTGCACCAATTCAAATGCCAGAGTGCCAATTGTACTTCAGGCATTGGTCCAGAGACTGGGTACACAGCAGAGAAGAAAACCAAGTCCTTGGCCTAAGGGAGCTTCTAATCCAGCATTCACGGTTTTGTTCTGCTGCGTAAATAATGCATCAGAAATCTGTTCCCATTCAAAAACACAAGTAAAATCTTTCTGATGGTACCCAAAATGTTAATTTTTAAACTCTTTCCCAATTAGGAATCCCCAATTTGTGGGAGATTTAGAAGTCGAAGCACGGTATGAAGAATTAATTTATTTGATACAGACAGTGTTAAATGTTCACTGTGTATGAGAAGCTGCAGAAGATCCGTCAAGATGTGCGACAACAAGAAACTCCCCAAAGACTCCTGACAGGTTATGAGGTGCCCATCTTTTGCCTGGCACTGCTCAAACCCCATTCAAAAACAGCAGCAACCTGGGGTATAAAGCCTTCTTTCTCAGGGCAGGTCCCGTGGCCAAATGGTTAAGTTCGAGCACTCTGCTTCAGCGGCCCAGGGTTTCGCTGGTTCAGATCCTGGGCACGGACGTGGTAGGGCTCCTCAGACCATGCTGAGGCAGCGTCCCACATGGCACAACCAGAGGCACTCACAACTAAAAATATACAACTATGTACTGGGGGGCTTTGAGGAGAAAAAGAAGGAAGAAAAAAAAAGATCGGCAACAGATGTTAGCTCAGGTGCCAATCTAAAAAAAAAAAACTTTCTTTCTGTTTCCGATGACTCTACATGATTCTGCCAAAATAGATTTCCATCAAATTATTTTCCTGTTCAAGAATCTTCAAGAGATCCCTACAATATAAAAGTTCAAATCTAAACCCATCTCCTTGGATTCTAAGGCCCTTCGTTACCTAGCACTGAAGTTGACAAACTATGGCCCACCACTTGTTTTTGTAAATAAAGTTTTATTGGAATACAGCCATGCCTGTTCATTTATGTATCGTCTATGGCTGCTTTCTGCCACAACCAGAGTTGAGTCACTGTGACAGAGACCATATGGTTCGAAAAGCCTAAAATATCTACGACCTGGCCCTAACAAAAACAGGTGTGCCAACCCCTGATCCATGGTAGCCGCCAGCCAATAGGATCCCCCACTCACCCCACCTTACATAGTAAAAATAACAAGAACAGAAACTCACATTTATTATTTACTGTGCTAATTGTCTTGTAAGCACTACCTTATTTAACATTCCCCATCCTGCTGGTAGATCAGCCCTATGATGACTGCCTTTTGACAGACGAGGAAGCTGAGGCTGGAAAAGGTTACTACCTTGTCCCAGGCTAGGCAACTAGTAAACAGCAGGACTCAGTTCTGAAGCAAGCAACGAGCACTCCAGACCCCACCCCCCACCATCACACCATTCAGCCGTCCAGCATTCTTGGGCACACTATGCCATTTCAGGCTCCTTCAGGGCTCATGGTCCTCTCTTTCTGGAAGTCACCACCCACACGTTTGCTGGACATGCCATCTTTGCCCAGCTGGCTAATTTCTCAATCTTCAGATTTCAGTTGAAACGGCACCTCTGCAGAGCGGTCCTCCTTGAATACGTCTATTGCGCCAGCTCCCCTCTCCCCCATTCCCTTGACAGCCCTTGTATTTGTCTTGTTTATCTGCACTCTGCTTATGGCTTGGCTCAAACATGACAATGTAGGTTCACCATGACAGAGGCGCCTGGCACACAGAAGGTGCTTGTTAAATAAATATTAGCTGAATGCAAAGCTGGAAGAAACAAACGCCCAAGGGAAGAGAATTAGCTAGTCAGAAGTAGAGCCTGGAGCGGAGTTGTTTCTCCAAAATTAAGTCCTGTTTCCTTCCCTGTGAAGGGATTGGCTTTCAGGAACAAAGGGAAACCTCTTCACTCTCACTTCTGCTTGTGTCAACTCTGAGCAACGGCATGGGGCTGGCCACAGCTGGCAGGTGCAGGTCCGTATTCCTCTGAGGCTCAGCCCAGGGATGTTCTCACTCAGTTGGAAAACAAGAAGGCATCTCACAGAGCATATTGCGCCCCAGAGCACAAGTAATGACTTTCAGAGGTGTGGAGAAGGAGGAATCTGGCACAGGGAAGGGGTCCAAGATGGCAAAGTGCCAACCTAGTGGCCTTGAGCTCTGAGTGGCATTATCATGTCACCTTGCAGCTTACCTTAGGGCTGAGCTGGGCAGTGAGGCAAGAACCGAGAGGGACGGTCTCACACCAGATCTCTACAATGACCGTGAGAAGCCAGGTGGCTTCTTGTTGCTCAGCACTTCATGTCCCCTCCTCCGTTGCCACCAACACATTTCTGGTTGGGAGGCAGTTAGATTTTTCAGATTAGCACCCAAAGTGTTTCTCAAAAACAGAGATAACCCCATCCCCGGGGGAGACAGTCATAAGTCCAGGCATGCAGAAACACTCCATAGTTTTTATTTCATTTCCTTTATATAGACTGAGTCACCTTTCAGCCTGGGTTGTGCATAGCTAACCACTGAAATATTTCTAAAATTAACAAGTTAGTTATGCAAAATCCACCAGAAAAAGACACTAACTTCAACATGTGGGGTTTAAGCCCTGAGCCTTTGCAAACACTAATCTTAAAGGCTGAATCTAGGATGTATGATGATAAAACAGTGTGACCATTGTTTTTTTTAAAAAAGGATGACCCTAAGCAAAACGGCCCCTAAGAAAGCTCAACATCTAATATTGTTGGGACTGCAGAGAACAATTCTGGAGGCTCCTCTTCATTTATTCAATGAATATTTACTGGAGCTCTAATGCACCAGGCTGTGTGCTAGGAGCCGGGGATACACCTGTGAGCTGGGGGTCTTGCCTTGTTGGGGGACAGGCGTTGACAAAAGGGCGGCACCAATGTCGAGCTCCAACTGTGGCTTTGGGCTCAGCTGCAGAGATGCAGAGTTCAGGCTGATTTCTATGGCTCAAGGGTGGGAGGCTTTCCAGAACTCTCCCTCCAAACACTAGGCCAGACGGGTCTTCTGTTTGAAACCTCCAGCATCTGTCTGGGTTGATACCGTCTAGAAGGGCAGCAAGTGTCCCTTCCAACAGCCTGCCAGAGCATCTATTGGAAACAAGTCCCGTGGCGGGACTTTACTCTTTTAAATCTGCAAGGCGAAACATTCAGTGCCTTTCTTATTCCTAGGAGGCTGAGCGTGACTTCTGGGTGAAATGAAGTTCATCCGAAACAAGGGTAGTGACCGAGGCGGGTGCCCGATCTTGGTCACATCATTTGAGTCAACCCAAGGCTTGGTGTTGACCCCTTATTTCCACTCATCCTCGCAGCACCCCAAGAAAATCCAGGCCTATCTCAGCTCTGCTGTCTTGCGGAGGGCACGTCCCACGTTACTTTCTGGTACTCGGCCCGTTCATGGGGCTCAGGCTGCAGAGTCCAGTCATTCAAGGGACATTGCTTACTCAATCGTTAAACGCGTCTACCGTCTCCTTAAATGAATTAATATAGGATACACATAGAGCATTAACAGTGCCAGGCCCTCTATGTAAGCACACTGTCAGTTATTATTACTACTATCCACTAGGACTCTGAGAGCTTATTTTAATTGTCCTTTTTTCTTCTCCAGTCACAGAAAAGTGCCAGGTACATAGTAGGCACTCAATTAATATTTCTTTACAAATGTTATAACTGAAATGTACTTATAATTTTTCCATCCTTCAGTGCCCTGAATAAACTGTGTACGTGGGACAGACAAGAGAACAAAGCAGGAGGGCGGTGGAGAGCCCAGTCTCACCAACAGCAGATTTGGGCTTCAAGCAGCTCCGCCACCTATTAGCCAGGGGACCTTGAACTAAGTACTTAACTTCCCGAGCCTCAGTTTTCTCATCTGTAAAATGGGAAAACAATGATGCCTCAGTCACAGGCAGCTGAGGATGGCTGGAACAATGGGTGTAAAATGCTAAGCACAGGGCAGCACACTCTAAATGTTCAGTAAATACTCCCTACTGTCTCCCCTGTCCGCGGAACTCAAGACTAAGAAAACATTCAACTGTCAACCTTCACGGATATTTTAAAATCACATTCCTATGTTAAACAGCCTTTATGGAGACTGACAAAAAAATTCCCTTAGTGATTATTTTTAAATATGTGTCATTGGTGACTGGCACACATCTGGTAGGAGATCACGTCGCAGCTCCTGCCTGAACTGTTTTTCCCATGAGGGGTGGGGATGGACTCATAGCAGTTGCTTCCCCTGAAAAGTGACATAATACAACCTGCATCCCCCTCTCGCCCCAGTGAAGACATCTTCCTAAAAGGCTCAAAGAGAAGAAGCCCTGAGGACCTCCACCTCTCACCTCTAGCACCTGGAGAAGGTGGGGTTCGGCAGGGCATTCAAGGACTCCACTGTCATCTGATACAGCACTGCTAGGAGGCCGGAGCCTTTACTCTGTGTTCCAGAAGAAACTTCGGTTTCTTCAGAGAGGTTAAGTAACCTGCCCCAAACCACACAGCTAACAGGAGGAAGAGGTGGATTAGGAACCTAGGCGGTGGCTGCCTATGGAGGACGAAGGTCGGGCTGTCTACCCTGAAGGAGGAAATAGCCTGTAAGTCAACAAGGGTTAGGGCAAATTTGAATACAAGGGTGAAAGGTGGCCAGGTCGCCTGCAGCCTGAGAGTCCTGCCTTTTTTCACTTTCTCAAGGGATCTTCAAGAACCTGCACAAGGTACCCCAACAATGATGACAGCAGCTCCCACGTCGTAGGCCTTGACGGAGGCACTGCTAGGCACCTTAGTCACCTCCTTCTATCTTCGCAGCACCCGTCAGCCTGGGATCACTGTATTCCCATTTAACAGATAGGCAGAGAGCGGGCCAATGCCCCACAGCTGACCAGCAGGGACGCGGGGACCGGAACCCAGGGCTGTCTGACACGGGAGCCCTGGCTGTTAGTCCTGCAAGATAACAGACCCCTCCTTCCCTTCTAAAGGCACCTCTCCTTCTCTTCCAAATCCCGAATAGTACCGGCTGTCCCGAGCCAGTTGGCTAGGAGAGAAGAGAGGACAAGCTGAGCAAAGCAAGCGATGATGGGGGCGAGAACCCTCTCCCCAAAGTTTCCGCGCCAGCGGGCTGGGAAGCGCAGCCTCACCGGACCTGGCTCCCCGCACACTGCGCTCCGGGCAGCGGCGGAGCAGGAGGCCGGGCAGGATGGGCGGGAGGGAGGGGAAAGGAGGGAGGAAGCACGCCGCGGACGGGCGGCTGAAGCGCCAGCGGAGTCGAGGCCCCCAAGTTACCGTTCCCACGGCGGCCGGACGGCCCGATGCTGCGACCGTCTCTGTCCCCCCGCGGCTAGGGTCTGGGGCCACTAAAACGAAACCGAAAGTTAAAGCCCCAACGCTGCAAGGGGAGGAGTCGCCCGGGGCAGGACTGCATGCACCGCCCCTAGCTCGGGATGGTGCGCTCGCAAAGTTGGCCGCGCGCAAAACGTCCCGCGCCGCCGCGCCCACCGTCGCGGCAGAGCGCGCCCCGCAAAATTGCCTGCGCTCCCGTGTCGCGTGCACGGTCCCCGGAGGGCGCCCTCTGCAAAGCTGGCTGCGAAATTGGCCGCTCGCAAAGTGCCCCGGGCCCCTGAGCGCATAGTCCTCGGAAAGCTCCCTTGGCAAAGTTGGCCGCGCGCACCGGAGAGCGTGCTGGGTAAAGTTTGCAGAGATCGATGGGATTTCCCCGCCGCGCTCACAGACCCCGCCACATTCTGCAGAAGTGGCAGCCCTCAAAGTGACCCGCAAGAGCGCGCTCTGCAAACTTGCCGCACGCAGTGTCCTGAGCCACGCAAACTTGAAGAGCGCGCCCTGCAGACTTCGCGGCGCTCAATGACCGGGCGCTTGTTTGAGCCCCCGCCTCCCCCCTCCCGCTGCTGCCCACAGTCTACACCTCGACTTGGCCCTGCGTGCCAGTTCCGGGACCCAGTTCCCATAGCCAGAAGGCTCTTCCCCAGCCAGACCCTGGACCCCAGTCTGTGCGGTTCGCCCCCAGGAGAGGTGGCGGGTAGGGAGGAGACTCGGCGCCCCCATCAGCTTGAGTTACCTTCTCCCAAGGCGGAGCCCCTCGGGCGCGCCCTGGGGTCCGCTGTGGGCTTCCGGCCTCCCAGCGCTCGCTTCCACCGGCGGGCGCGCCTTCCTTCGCGCGAGGGCGGTAGGACGCTCGCGCACTCTTCTCACCGCGTAACACGCCCGCAGGTCTGGATGGGGCGAGAGTCGTTCGTGATGTTGAGCGCCCCCAGGTGTCAGTCACTGGGTATGTGGCCCGCAGTTAGTCGAACAGGGAGAGACCGTGCGCTTCCGCTGCTTCCACCTCTTACATCCCCACAACCCCCCAGCCCCACCCCACGCATCCATTTGACTTTCTTCACGCATGGGCCTCCAACCAAGGCCTCCGATGCCTTTCTCTCCAAGACTCGTCAGAGGAGCAACTAATTAACTCAGTCCCACGGAGGTGTAAATATCTGAGAAGAAATTTCAGTTTTGTTCATACCAGAGATAGCTGCTTTTAAAGAACTATCAACACCTTGAATGAGAGGAGGGAAATCTTCATGGTGTGACATCAGGCAAGAACCACATCCTGTCTTGTTTGCTTGCTTGCGCTGGTCCTGTCTTCAATATTGTCTCTAAAATCTCACCAGGTAAGGACATTTACTTGGTTTAAGAATACTGGCCCCAGGCAAGTGTAAGGAAATAATTATAATTTATTAACTTCTGCAGAAATCCTGAATTCCTGAATCTTTTTAACAGGCAGTTACCCTATTTCCAATATGGCTGTGCTAGAGGCTGAATGTTTGTGTGTCCCACCCCCCCAAATTCATATGTTGAAACCTAATGCCCAGTGTGATGCTGTGAGGAGGCAGGGCCTTTGGGAAGTGTGAAAATCCTGAGAGTGGAGACCTGGTGAATGCGGTTAGTGCCCTTATAACAGAGGCTGCTTCCTAGCCCCTTCCACCATGTGAGGACACAGAAGTTGCAGTCTGCAGCCCCAAAGAGAGCTCTCACCAGAACCTGACCATGCTGGCGCCCCGATCTTGGACTTCTAACCTCTATAACTGTGAGAAATACATTTCCGTTGTTTATAAGCCACCCAGTCCATTGTATTTTGTTATAGCAGCCGGAACAAACTAAGACAGGGTGTGCTACTCTTCATTTAGCACCCATGTTTCTGAAATGTTGGGGTAAACTAAATCATTATAGACACTAAGATAATTTGCTTTTAATGGAATTCAATTGTGAATCATTTGAGAAATGAAAAATCCTATTAGCAAAGCAATTAAGTTACTCTCTAATTTAGAAATTTTAAGTTTTTGCAGTTTATTCCTGAAATATAGTGAAACGCAATATTAGATCTGGAAGGGGCTTTAATAACTAATCCTTCTGCTCATTTTATAAAGAATCCGAGGTTCAGAGAAGTTGCCCACATCACAAGCTTGTTAGTGGCAGAACCAGGATCAGGTTGCCTAGAAAAATAGTGAATTAGCCATTTACAGGAAGGCTCTATCGTAAATTATATCATGCAAATGTTAAAATGTATTGCACATGGGAAGCCATTACTGACTCAGACTGGAAGATGATTTGAAGGAAAACTTTCTTTTTTCAGATCTTAAGCGTGGGCTGGCATGGGGAACTCCAAATGTATTGCTCTGAGGATGGCTTATCACAGTATCAACAAATAAAATCATGGATATACGGAAGGGAAGAAACAATTTTGAACTTTTCCTTCTCTAATAATTGTGCTGACATTCTGGATCCAAATGATATTCTCTCCTGACTCTTATGTCCTGTGTCTCTCTAGCCTGGGTCCATGTCATGGTTTTATGCTTCTTCTCAGATTCACATGATTAGAGCGTGAGTCTTCCTCCTCGCCCTGGAAAAGTCCCCCAACTCCATTATTCAGATAGTTTCCCAAGAGCTGGCCTCATGAGTGCTCCTGGGCTGTTCCCCGGACCTTCCCTCCAGCCCGCTTCCCTGGTCACCAGGCTGCTGCCGCTAATCCTGAGGAGCTCCCCAGTGTCACCCTCATCCTGCTGGGCACAGTACCCGCAAGGGGGGGCCACCCGTGATTGCTTCTCCACTTCTTCAGAAGACAGCTCAGGCCAGGCTGTGACTTTATACAGGACTCTGCTGAAGGATATCCCTTAATTAACAGCAATGCTACTCTTAAGACCCACAGGCCCAAACTCCAACTCTGGCTGAGGCATCAGCAGGCTTCTGCGAGGGGGGATAAAGGGTGGGTCCGGGCAGAATTCCCTGAAAGGAGGAATTCATGTTGTACCTGTTGTGGACTGATTGCCTCTCAGCTTGAAATTCACCTTTTTGTCTGTTCTGTGAAAAGTGGCCTGGGCCCTTTAAGTAGTTTTCCTTTGCCTGTGGCCCCATGTTAAGTTTTGTCAGTAGGGAGCGCTGGAGGAAGAGTGCAGGAGGGAAAGGTTCTGCTTCCTGGCTCTGGTGTTCTGGCCTGCTCCTGGAGAATCAGGCTCCTGCAGAAGGGCTGGCCTCTCAGCTTACCATCCCTGGCTTTCCCAGTGCCCAGCTACTGCTGTGCCTGGTGACCAGCAGCACCCAGCAGCCAGCAACTTCCTTGGCATCCCCTTCAGGTGGTTTTGTAGCAGAGTGCCTCCTTTGAGACACATCCCGAGGAACAGCTCTCTCTGGCACCTAGAGGGTAGACTTCCAGAAAGTTCTAGAGGACAGATTTCTAGCAAGTTCTACTGATGCAGCACCGCAGTGACTTCTCTCCTGTCTAGTGAGCCATGGCTCTGCTCTCTCTAGTAAGGTTTGAATCTCAGCCTTGGGGTGGGGAGAGGGTAGGGGGCTCTTGCTTGGGCCCTCTATCTCGGCTTTAGGGGTGGTGGCTAGTTATGGGATGTTATGTTACGTTATGTTGTTATGGGCTGGATTGTGTCCACCTTCCCCAAATTCATATGCTGAAGTCCTAACCACGAGCTCCTCAGAATGCGTCTGTGTTTGGAGATAGAGTTTTTAAAGAGGTCAAATGAGATCCCTAGGGTAGGCTCTAACCCAGTATGACTGGTGTCCTTATAAGAAGAGATGAGGACACAGACACACACAGAGGGAAGGAAGACTGTGTGAAGACACAGAGAGAAGATGGTCATCTACCAGCCAAGGAGAGAGGCCTTGGAAGAAATCAGCCCTGCTGACACCTTGATCTTGGACTTGTAGCCTCCAGAACTGTGAGAAAATAAATTTCTGTGGTTTAAGCCACCCAATCTGCAGGACTCTGTGTGGTGCCCTAGCAAACTAATACGCATGTTATCAGCAAGTATATGGTATCTGCATTTGCTGTATTTTTTAGAGTTCTCTTTACTTTTTACTAGCCAATCTACAACCCCCGTTGTAGTTAATAATTTATTATGTTAACCTTTTCCTGTTCAGATTACTGTGTGGTTTCTCTCTCTTCACTGGATCCAGATGGACAGACCAGTGTCTCCCCAATCCAAGAGCTGCCTCATTTCAGATTCTGTGGCCTCCAGCAGTGGGAATATCCATTTCTTGACTCAGAGGGAAAGCTCCATCCCACAGGGTGTGTTGTGGTCTCCTGGCCCAGGAAAAGACAAGCACAGCAGTTGGATATGATTGTCCACACTTGAATAAGACTCCACCTGCAGACAGTCAAAGTCCAGGCCAGATGGGGTTGAACCGATTCCTCAGCCTCCATCCTCCCCATCAGCCTCCCCGCGAGAACTCTGGTCTGGTTGTTCCTGATGTCCTATGAGAAACCGCTTAGACCGGGGATTGGCACACCATGGCCTGTGGGCCCCGTTTTTGTACGGTATACAAGCTAAGAATGGTTTTTTATATTTTTTAAGAGTTGTAAAAAAAAAAGAAGAAAAAGAAAATGAAGATGGGATGGAGATGGTATGTGGTCCCTAAAACCTAAAACATTTAAAATCTGACTCTAACGGAAGTCTGTGGACCCTGTCTTAGACCAAAAGATACAATTCCATCTCCAAAGCAAATGCAATTTTCAACTAAAGAGTGGTCTCCAACCAGATTTAGGTTTGAGGGGAGGCAAAATATTTCTCTAATTTTCCTTGGCAGAATACTTCCCATGGACCAATTTATGTAAACAAACAGA